GGAGAAGGAGAATTATGGCCCAAACGCTTTCATCAAAATATTCCTTTCGAACCGTATTGTTAAAGATTGTGGCGCTCCTTGCTTGCTTCGAACATTACCGATCTCTTACGTTCGGAGAAAACTTATCAAACTATGGATTAAGGTCACTCTACTGCAAAGCAAGTCGGAACAAAAGAGACATCAGAGGTAAGCGCGAGCCAGTAAGCTTAGTCAACTCATAAAAGTGTTTTACCACACTTGATACGCACTTTTTCGTTTACAACTAATGATAAAAAAACCAAAGGTTTATTTTGTACCAATTATTCTCTGGGACTAGAATAGAGGGCCTCGGTGCTGGTTTTAGTTTGACGCAACAGGCGTAGGCGATTTCTTAAGGCGGAAGTCACACTCCCTAATATTTCATCGGCGTTTTGGTTCAAATTCTTGAGCTGTGTGACGGTATTTGTTTGGCAGAAGATCATCATGAAAACTGGATTAATAGAATCGTATTGTTCAGGTTACTTTTTAGGGCAACAGGTAACCAATGCACGTGGTACTTTCAGATCCTCCTCCTTTCCCTTTTAAATGTTCCTAAGATGTTTTCGCTCTGATTATGATCAGTTGAAGCGAAATAATGGATCATAAATTGTATAGATTAAATTAGAAGTAGTCATGAATTTCCTTGATCAAACCCAGGAATCTTGATTTACGAGTTACATATTGATCAATTATGAATTTCAAAGAAGAAAACGTAACACAATAATTCACATCATGAAAAACCGTTGAGGGTATAGAAAGGCAGAATCCTTGCTGACTTTGACCTGAAATCATATATATATGTGTGCTTCTCTTTTTTGTTTTACTGTTAGTTTTGAAAACAGAGAAGCTGACTCCTCTGAACTACGATGACACTTTTGCCTATGGATGCTTGCACGATATCCCGATTCCAAATAGTACTTTGGAGACAACCTTCACGCCCCAACAAGAAAGAGCTGTACTCATGGAAATATTTAACCAAACAGATGGTCACCATTGGAGAAAAAGTACTCACTGGGGGAACAACTCTGTACCACACTGCCTTTGGTATGGAATCACATGTGATCAAACCAATAGCTACATTATCAGTATCGCTTTGACCAAAAACAATTTGGTTGGGGTTTTTCCAGGAAGTTTGTGGAAACTTCGTAATTTGCAGGGTTTGTGTGTAGGTAATAACAACAGGCTTGCAGGTAATCTTTTTGAAATTTTGTCTGCCAATATGACCACCTTGCTTCGTCTTGATCTTGCTTTTAATAAGTTGTCTGGTGAGATTCCCGCTGAAATCTTACCAAAGATGGAATCTTTGGTAAAAGTTCAACTCTGCTGCCAATTGGGAAAGGGTCTCTCTAGTACAATTCCAAGGGACATTGGGAACTTGAGTGAGCTGCAAGTTCTCAGTATCGGAGAAAACACATTGAATGGCATGATTCCGAAGAGCATTGCCAAATTGAAGAAGCTTTGGTTTTTGGATCTTGAAAGTGTGTCATTTCTAAGTGGAGGATTTGAAAACCTTTATAATCTGTCATCTCTACGTTATATGCACCTGTCTCTTGCCGGGCTAAACGGGACTTTACCAGATGATTTTGGACTTTACTTTCCTGCTATGATTGAGTGTCTTTTGCCTGGCAATCATTTCAGTGGAAGCATTCCTTCAACAATGGGTAATATGACAAACTTATGGCATTTAAACCTGGCGAACAACGCTCTTTCTGGAAAATTACCAAAAAGCTTAGGCTCAATACCCATGCTTCAAGTTGCTGATTTCAGTGGAAATCAGTTATCGGGGCTACAAGAAGGAATTGTTTTCAAGTCAAAATCCTTAGAAGTACTTAATTTGGCTGGTAATAAACAGCTTACCATGATGTTTAATACCCTATTAGAAGCAATGGAACCCATAAATCAATCGTTACGTATTCTTAACATCAGTGACTGCAATTTTCTTGGAAAAATCTCCGCGAAACTGTGGGACTTCCAAAATTTGATTTCTGTAGATTTAAGTAGAAATAGCTTGTTTGGACAGCTTCCATCTCCCCCAGATAATATGTTATTTCTTCTTAATCTTGACGTATCTGCGAACAACCTTTCAGGAAAAATTCCTCAAGAATTTGCAAAACTCTTAGCACTGGAAGTCTTCGACATTTCACTGAATCCCAATATGCACGAGTCCAACGAGGAAAAAGGAGCTCTACCCAACTTCGTGACGGTTGATTTTAAAACTTTGACGCAGAGAAATTCAGATGATAAATTTAGGTGTCCCAATGCTCGACTCAGTTATAACAAAGGACTTGTCGTGTTAGACCCAAATTACTATTTTTACCGTCTGTGCCTTTGTAATATTGGATACTATGGCTCAGGAAGAACCTGTTTATCTTGTATGGAAGGGGGAGTGTGTCACGATCAAATGCTTCCTACGCAGTCGATGATCATTAAAAAGGGATATTGGCCTTCATCACTTCATGGAAACGTGACTCACCTAATAAGATGTTCCCAAGCTTTAGGCACCAGCGCCCTCGTAAATACATCATGCAATCCAACCGGCTCTTGTGAGTGTGGTATTGATCCTGATTGGCATAGGGAGACAAATGGAGCAAGTGACAGACCATTCATTACTTGTAACAAGTCGTGCCTTTGTCAGAAAGGTAGTCG